ATTTGTACGAATTTCTCGTGTTTATTAATTCAATAATACGAAATTTTGCGTTACAATCACCTCCAAACAAACAAAAATCAAGTGCTCTGATATCATTATACTTGGCCTGAGTAGAATTCATCCCCAAAAGCTAGCTCAAAAGAAAAGGGCGCCCAACCTATCCTTATACACAATAACTTAGTAACTAATCAATGTGGGACAAACATAACTTCTAACACCCGCCCTTAGCCCCGCAGTCAGCCGAACCTAATGGGCTGGGTCTAAACCCAATCATACAAACAAACAAAGCATGAGTGCTCTGACACCATGTATAGGTAGAACTTATCCCAAGCTAGCTCAAAGGGAGAAGGTGCCCAACCCTCTCTTATAAACAATCATAACCTAGTAACTATAACTAATAGATATGGGACAAACATAACTTCTGACAACTATGATATACACATGCTCACTCTCACACATCACTTATGAATCTGAAACTTTACTACATGCCCTTCAACAGCCACATGCATATTAAAAAAATCATTGTGGTTTGACAAGTTCTAGTTGAGGTCAACAAGCAAACGAACAAACATGTTGTTTCTTTTTCATTTAAGATAATGTTTCAAGAAAGAAATGTGATAATGATGGGAAAAAGGACGAACGATGATGATGAGTATAATAAAGGTAGGCAATGATGAAATCAGCATGCTGCGCTCATGCTAAACACATGTTGCTCGAGTTGTCTACTAAATCTTTACCCTGAAACACCTTTCCATTGATTTCAACCTCATATGACTCCATAACCTCTTGAATCGCAGCACCCACATCACACAAACGCACATCAATTCCAGCTTCCTGTTATAAAAATAGTAAGAATATAAACAACGAATAAATAATAAAATAAAACATACCCCCACAAATCTAATATGCTGGAATAATTATATTGCACGAAGTCATAATACTAACAACAACAACAACAATGACAAACAACAACAACAACAATAGAAGAAGAAGCAATGACGATGGTACCTACCTTTATACCCGTATTTGTAGCTTCACGTGAAGCTTCGAGCAGAGGATTGAACATTGGGTTGAATGCCACAGTGAACGCACAATCCACTATATGACCTACAAATAATGGCAAATCTGAAGTCAAACAATCACAAGGTAAAAAAGAGTAGCAACAGTCTCCAAAATGTAGGGACAACAACTAGTGGAAGTGGATTACCATCAGTTCCAAAGTCCAGTTTCATCACATCATCGTACTGAAGCACAGTTTTATCCCCTGTATTTGGAGTCCAATGGGCAGCAACCCTGTAGTAGAAAGAGCATAAAGAAGACAATAGAGAAGTGTGAGAACTTTTAAAAGAGTCGGAAAAAATAAAATAAAATAAATGATGAAAGAATTGTCAATCAATAACAAACTTCACCAGTTCAATGAGCAGCCTGTAGGAAATGCAATGCCAGCTTGCAAACCGTTCTCCGATATTAACTTACGAACTGTATTCTCCAAGGTCTCACACAAGTCGGTCATCAACATTCCAGGTTTCAATATTTTCCGAATGTATTGTCGAACCTGTTAAGGATTACATGATAATATTTTAGGAAGAATAAATGAAACATAATTTGTTCAATGTTAAGCCAAGTACATTGAGCATAAGTTCGATGCTACCTGACGGTGGACTTCTGCTGCTTGGCGAACTGCATTGTAAAGTGGTTTTTCCAGTCACTCCAGTTCTCTCTTTTCCTCAG